ATGAAAGAAAGCTAGGCAGGCGGCATTATGCAAAATATATCAGTAACGAAAAAAACTTAACAAAAAAAAGTTTATCTCCCCCCACAAGAAATGCATTTTGCTGATATGCATTCAAGTGAAAGTTGACAGCGAACTTTTTTTCTTTAATACATTTTTATGTTGCTGCTTTAGATATTTCCTGAGGTAATTTAACAATTGCAAAGGGCGTCAAATTGTTGGGCGTTGCCAGCTGATTAACATAATTATTGGTCTCGTTTACTCCATCTTTTTTGAGGAAACAAGTGTTTCATATGGCTGAAGGCGCTGCAATCAAATTATTCAGTGAAAGAAAAAAATTTGATTTGTAATTCATGGTAAAAAATCAAGTTTTTTTAAATAAAAAAACAGCATTTAATTCTCTTTAAAGTTTACTTAGATATTGCATCATATAAATTTTTATAAAGAATAAATATCTATAAACATCATGTCAAGTACTCAAAAATGAGCTTATGGAAATTAAAAAAAAAAATTAAAAAATTAAATAATTAATTTTCGCTGTAGTTTGCTTATCAAAAAACAAAAAACATTTTTACAAAATCAACAAATATTTGCACTAAAACTCAGAATATCTTTTACAACTTTTTTCATACAGAAAAGTTTTCTGTTCGGCCCTGGAAAAAGCAAAAAAAAAATTGAAAGCAAAACGAGCTCAGTCAACTAACACAAACTATTTCAAGCGGCAAAATGTAACAAGAAAAAATTACTGTAATATTTGTACCTATTTTCTTTACTTTTTTGCAATACATTTTTTAGAGCATGTACTTTTTTATGATGAACAACGCCTACAACACTTTCTCGCATAGTTAAACGTATTGTAAAACAGAAATAAAAAATATACAATAAATTGCGAAATATCAGAAAAAATTGCAGTATATGAAAAAATCAAAGAAAAGCTACTACAGGGAAAAAAAATTTCTGTCTAGCATTTTACAAATTTCCCACATAATTATGAAGCGCCAGCCAGCGAAAAAAGAAGAAATAAAGAAGAATGGCATGAAATGCAATGCAGAAAGCGAGTGCGAGTGGGAGAGCAAGAGGGCCGCCAAAACAGTGCAAAGCAAAAGAAAGCACACAGAAACACACACACAGACACAGAAGAAGCCGACGTCAACTGTTCAAAGCGCCTGCTGACAGACAGCTGAGCTCTCAGCTGAATGAAGTCTGAGAGAGAGAAAAAAAGAGCGCGCGGCGGAGTGTAAGTGACGGCAGAGGGAGCAGCATAGCTGCGGTTACGCTTGTAAATCACGAATGCATATGCATGCAAGGGCGAGCGAGAGAGCGCACAAATGCAAATATGATAATAATAATAATAATAATGTAAAAAGCACAAAGCACACGGCACAAAGCACGTCAAGTGAAAATTAAGAAAGAGCAAAAAAGAAGCCGCAGCGCAGACAACGCTCGACTACATAATGAAAATAATAGCCGTCACAATGATAAATATACTCACACACACGCGCGCACATACACACACTCACACACGAGGGCACGCAAATACAAAGATGCAGTTAGCTTTAGAAGCAGTAGAATATATGAACATAGAGCGAGAGAGCCTGCATCTGACTGCAGGCAGTTGTAAATGAAGCAGTTGAGAGATTCACAAGCGCCGGAAACAGGTGTCGCACTTGCACTTGTCTAAAACAACGGGAATACAAATTTACATCATTCATTATTCCCTCTCGCATTGCTTAATCTTTAGCAACTGACAGATAAATGGGCGATAAAATAAGAATATTTGATTATTTTTCTACATACTTTCTTTGTAACTTATAAGAGTTTTTGATTCTTATCGATAACAGAAAGTATTGTAGAATATCAGCATTCTTAATGCAAGAATAACTTAAGGAATGGCTCGGTAAAAGTTGTGCTGTTTCTATTAACATTTTAGATTTCTATATACAATTATCGACAACTTAGCCCAGAAAATCGATATTGTACAAAATTGTTATATCAACTGAAAAGAGCCAGAATAGCAATCACTTTTCCTAACATTTTGCTTATCTTTATAAATTGTTAACTTTGCACAAATATTGTTGCTGCTATCTCTTTAAGCTCCTCTCACATTCCTATCGATAACAAGACAAACAATACAAAAAAGTCGATATCTGCAAATTGCGAATTGTAGGAAAAGAATTGCGAAAACCTTTCAATCACAGTCGAGTAGTGGCAAATGGAAGGGAAACCACTAAATATAAGAATCAACAGATCTACATTGTTGATCCATAGAAAAGAAATGTGAAATTCACATTAAATTCGACCTGATTTGCCGAACACATGTTTTTCTTAGTCTTAATCATCATTAATCATATTTAAATAAAAACTTTCACATTTAGGTTAACATTTTTAAATATTTGAAGCAGAAATTTGGGCAATTATAGAACATGTTTGTGCAAAGAGAGGAGGAGAGAAAAGAATTTGAATACAAATTTATGAAACTTGGAATACTAATCGAATTCATATCGTATGTATACTATGTCAGCTCTATAAATATCTGGAAGCTGTCAGACAATACATTAAAAGAGATATAATATGGAGTTGACATTTCAATAATTAGACATTATTTGCTAAGTGATACGAAAACTTGAAATTTAAATCGCAATCAAAGGAACTGGTTTAAAAATATATATTTAAAAACAAAGCAAACAAATTCAATTGAATAATTTAGTCAATTAAAGTATATTAAATTAATGCCAAATTATTTCTGTTTTATTAAATAATTTTCAGATTATTTTGAATAATTTTAATAAACTTCAATTGCTCTACTTTACAGTTCATTCGCCTATTATATAAGGCATAAGAACTTAAGATCATTATGCGAGCTGAATAACAAGAATAAAACCCTTCCTACTTAAAGCCCGCCCATTTAATGAATTTGATCTCGAACTCTATAGAACGAAGCACGTTTCTAGCCTTAAGACGGCTGCCTAGGTAAATGAACTTGCAGACAAAAGCTAACGGCGCTTAACAGAGACAAATACAGCATAGTAAAAGAGTGAGAGAGAGAGCAGAGAGCAGAGAGCGAGGCGTGAGCTAAGACTGTGGCAAGAATTTTGCGGCTGTCGTGAGAACCGATGAACCGAGTTTGCCACAAACTGTAAACTGTAACAAAATGATTAGCCGCATAATTTACTGGCCAGGCCAAGACGTTAACAAGCAACAGACGCGACTGACTGACTGACTGACTGACTGCATGATTGATTGATTGATTGCTTGGTCGCCCAAAACTAATGCGAATTCTCGTTCGTTGCGTTAACTTTTTGGTTATTCAATCAACGCACAACTCGATCGCCTTGAAGGAGAGGCTACCATAAGCAAGCAAACAGAAAAAGCCAAAATACGTAAAGAGCTCAAGTCATATAAAGGCAAATGGTTGGGTATATTCGACTAGCAGAAACAACGCTTTGACATGCTCTTAATATATTTGAGCTATGTAGAGTATCACATAAGAAAATAAGCCTAACTTTAGCTCGACTTGCAGATATCTAACCTCTACTTAATCTGAGGTTTTCAAATATATATAAATTATTTCTTATTGAAGTTTATATAGATTGCTAACATCGGCGCATTATAAACTCTTTCAACATATGCCCACATACAAAATTCCATAGCTTTAACCCTGACAATGCCCGAGTTCTTTGAGCACAGTGCACAAAACAATTAAACAAAATTGGAAAAAAAATATGAAACTCAAATGACGTCAAATGCAACACAGCAGCAGCAGCAGCAGGTAAAAGCTCAATTTAGGTTTCAGGTGTTTTGATCTTAAGTTCGATTGTTTCAGGCACGTCGAATACATTTCCAGAAACCGGCATACTTTAGAGAACAAAACCCGTTTGTTGCGTTCGATGTATATGAGAAAGAGAATTGGCTTGAATAGGGGTTCAGTTTTGGTTTTGGTTTGGTAGTTTCAAATAGGGTTCAAGGGGTTGCTCAATGCGCAAAGCCCAAACAAATTGAAAAACACTTTGTATAGAACAATCTCTGTAGATAAGTGTTACTTATGCTTTCACATTGTATTCACATTTTACATTTTTTTAATTAATTTTTTTTCTCTATTTTTGCAACAAAATATTATGTTGGCACGTGTTAATTGCGCATTTCTGGTTAAAAGAACGCGCCATAAAACACGCAGAAAATTGGTCGAAAGTAAAATGCGAGCGCGACCGGCGAGCGACAACATTGAAAACTCGCCGCAGACTAAAGAGACGTCGAATGGAATTTGTGTTGTGCCGTTTTTATCGAACGCTGCAGATACATTTGTATCTAGATACACACGACACGTTGCCACTGCTGCGCGCTGCACAGCAACTCTTCAGCTGGCCGTGCAAGCAGCAGCTGCTCTCTAAAGAAAAGAAAGAGAGAGAAAAACAAAAAGCCGGTTCGCTTTTTATTATAGACTATTCTGTTTTGACCATTTGTTGAGCTCGTTTTAACCGCAGCTAAAAAGGCTGTAAAAAAAACTAGTTTCATTTGCTCTTAAGTTCTCAAATGTTGCAGCAACATGAACGCAGTATTAAACTGCTTCACAATTGCACTGCTTGCTCGGCACAGCTTGTTTGGGTTGCAATGATCGCTGCTTGTGTAAAATTATAGCATACTTTAATGCCATACAGTAATTGTTGTAGTCTTATACTTTTACTTATACTTTTTAATTACGTAGCGTAACTTGATGCGTAGCTAACTATTTGTTAACTCTTAAATATTTTAAAGGTAACTTCACGTTGCTGTTATTGACATTTATAAAATGTATATTATATGTGTATAAATTGACTGTCGAGTTATTGGTAAGCTAATTAATTCGCTGTTTGATGGTCGGCTAAGCAGCTTTTCGAGCAGCAATTGCTGTTAAATAATTGTTGCATACTTTTAGGCAGCGCAAAAATTTTATGCGCAGAATTCTTATATCATTTATTTTAAGTCAAATTAAATTAATATTTAAGACTTATCCAAAAAAATAAACTTTACTTACGCAGTGGAGTTTTTGCCAATTGTTTTGGGGAACCGCTGCCATTGCCATTGCCATTGCCATTGCCATTGCACAATGAGCTCAGATCGCTATGCGAGCTCTTCTGGCTGTCCTTGCTGTAGGAGCGACCGCTGTAAAGAGAGCAAATGCATTGAAAACATGTTAACTAACAGTCTGTTAAGCTTCAATATGTTATGTGGCATTGTTAAAATATGCGAAAATTAAATGAAATTTTGTGGGCTGTATTTGGGTAAAAGTTAATGAGCGTGCAGTCATATATATATTGCATTCATATATGTCTTGCATTTTCAATTGCTTTTCGCGCATTGTGAAAAGCTGGCGCCTACTCAAAAATGCGCCAAGCTGTGAAAACTATAAGAAAAACAATCATAAAATCCAGGTGAAAATTCAAGTGTATCAATTTGGCCAAAAACGAAAAAAAAAGAAGAAAAACGCAAGACTTGTTATAGTTTATTTCTCGCTGCAAATTTCCCTTTTACAGCTGTTTTTGACAGCGACTTCCGCTTGAAGCGTTAATTGAAAATGCAGCAAAAAAACCGAATTAAAAGAGGCAAAAAAATTTCGTTGGGCAGGGAAATTTTTGCAATTTTTTTTGTTGCAGGAAACGGACGAACAAGCGAATGGCCAAAAGGAATTAGCATTGCCAACTGCGTTTCCGTTGGCAGCCAGCGGCGGGCATAACTGTAATTTATGTGCAAACAACTCCAACAACAAAAACAACAAATGTAACAACTGAGCAAATGCCAAAGTTGCTGCTCCGTTTGCAGTTGTCAACGAGGCGACATTTTTCTTGCCATCTTTAGCTACCCTACAGCTGGGGTACTCGAAATATGTTATGAAGTGTGCAGAGCCATATTTGGTTATATATAAGAGTGTACTTAGTATAGAGATATATTTTAATTCACTTATGTATAGATAAAGTTCTATATAACCAGATCAACCTATGAGAACTCAGCTTCCCGTGAAGCTTTCTTATTGAAATTTGTTGCAGTTGCCTCATTTTGCTTTAATCATAGTATATGACGAGCTTAGCTGGATCATACAGCTATATCACATAGTTATCACATCGTATAGTGACTTATAGCCAGCTATACATATGGTACTCGAGCTTTAAGTACAGATTTCTTGTTGAAGCTTGCAGTAGCTGAATTTTGTTTTAAATATAAAATCAATACAAATTTTGACTTCTATCTGACATAGTTATCATGCCATTTAGCGATTTATGATCGACTTTGCCCATGTGAACTCAGCTTTCAGTGAAGCTCTCTTGTTAAAACTGGGTATAGCTGCTTCTTTTTGCTTTAAGTATAAAGTATAATCAAATCATGCGCTTTAGACCAACTCATCAGCTACTTATCACACATGAAATTTGGTAGTGTTACCACTTTTTGGATTTGGAATAATTTAAAATAGTATTCTTTAACGTAAGCTTTCATATCATTAAGTCTGACATAAGCGACTGGCAGCTGGATGCTGACAGGTATGCATCCAGCTGCCAGTGAAGCATCCTCTCTAGCACCTGTCTATGTGCTCTCCACAAAATATATATAGAGCCAATCTGAAAGTCTTTAAGCGAAGCTAATGTAATCTCAGTTTCATAATACTTCATAATACTTCCCAAAGTGTATTTAAGTTTCGCCAACTTTTCGCCTATTTTGCGCCCATTTTTTCTTTTCCTTTTGTCGTTCATTGTATTTAATTCAATTTTCTTGTCGTCGCATAATTAAATGCAATTATAACGCAATTGTCAGTGCAACTGCACCTGCTGCCAGCCCCTCGACTAGCCCATAAAAGCAAACCACTTTTTTAAGCCATCCGGTTATATGTAAGTCCACATTTTGCGCAAAATCGAATTCAATAAGAAAACAATGAAAAGAAAACTTTTTAACATTTAATGGAGCGCAAGGGAAAACTACGTTTTCCTTCTGTTTCACTTTGCATGAGGATTGCCAACATATGGAATGATTTAAGTACAGTTGGGTCTAGTGGAAGAGAGGCGCCAGAGTTGCCACCAAATTTGATTTCGGAAAAAGTTAAAAGTGAAACTTTTAAATCGTTTTATAAACTAGAAATTAAATATTATAATTAAAATTAATAATTTAAATATATATATTCTGTCGAATAGAAACATTTATATATAAAACTCAGATACAACCCAAAAACTGACTGAGAATAGACGTAATACTATTAATCAAAAATATATACTTTATGCATAAATATATATAAAAAATCAAAGTAAATTATAGCAGTTTCGTAGACATAGTTTAAGCTCAAATCAAACAAAAAAGTTAAAAGAATTTTAATAAATTTTCTGATTCCTGGTTTGAAAGCTTACACTCACTACGATATGTGACATTATTGCCACATGCTCTATAGGCTCATGCTCAACTAATGATCAAGTGGGTTACCTTATTCAATATTCCAACAGCTTCATTGATAAATTTAACAGTTGCTCAAATATAGTTATCGGTCATAGTAATACTCTTGTTGGGTCACTCTTTATAATATCATATTCCACCAATTGTTTGCCACAAGTTTTCAGAACCTTAAAGAAAGGCAAGCACTGAAGACGAATTATTCTTCAGCAACTCTCACACAAGAAGATATTTTGACTAATGATAAGATGGCACTTATAGCCCAGATTCCCTGGAAGTTTGAAGCCTTTAGCCTTAATCCCTTCTGAGTGTCAAAAGAGTGAATGCAAGAAGTGTGACTTACAAGGAGATTATTTTGAAGCACAATCTAAATCCATTTTCTTTATTATTTTACAATGTTTACCATATAAAAGCCAAACCTCGTACAATATATTAGAACATTCTGAGCAAGGTTATATAAAGACAAAACTTTCTATAAATATAAATATATACAATATATACAAGCTGCACGAAGTGTTCCAAGAATTAGCAATCTATCTAAGCTCTATGCAAACACACCCACCCTACGTAGGGTATCCAGACTCGCCTCTAGAACTGGAAAGAGCACGAGCTCTTCCTGCTAAAAAGGGCTGACAAAACAAGCAAAGCTCATATGGTTGCACTGTGACAGTCGTGTCTACACTGCATATTTAATTAATTTCTTTGCATTTGCATTTCATTAATAATGCATTTTAATTACACTGCGCACAATTCCGCCCGCCACCCCCTTTGACAGCGCCTGTAACATTTTCAGTGGTTGTCGATGATATAATAAATATTTATAACAAACGTCACGTCAACAGCAACAACAACAATTTGTGAGCTATTTTAAAATACAATTTGTTTATAACTGCCTCTTACTATCTGCCTCTCTATGTCTCCCTCTGTCTCCCTCTCCTTCAGCTACTTTTTGATTCTTCGCCTTAATTTCCGCACAATGTTTATGCTTCAGTTCACTTGGCGGCGCGTCGCTGCGTTTTCCTCTGCTCCCGCTCGACGTTTCTCCATTTCTCGCTTTGCATAATTAATTCCATTCCCTCAATTGCTAAAAGTATCCAGCCTTGCCCCTACCAAACCCCAACCCCACGCATTTGTTGTCCAACACAATTTGGACTTAACTCAACTGCAGCGGCAACTGCAACTTGTTACCTGCTGCTGCTGCTGCTGCTGCTTCTTTTTCTTTCTTATGAACTTGACAGTGAAAATATGAAAATGGAGCTACGCATTTTCATGCAATTTCTTTGCAATTTTAATTCAATTTTCTGCAACGAAAATCTTTGGCCAGAAATTGTTATTTTAAGCCAAATTAAAGACTAAATGCAGCATGAAACGAATAAAACTCGGGCTAATGAAACTAAACAACTTTTTCAGAGTTTCGAGTTGGCTAAAAATAAGATTCAATTCTGAAAGCAAGTACTTGAGTAGTTCTTTAGCTACTCAGGAAGTTGCAAAAAAATGAATGAAAAATAAATTAAAATTAAAATACAAAAATTTAAAGAATTTATAGTAGATTTATAGAAGTTGTTGTTGTCAATGAATAATATAAGAGAGTTTATATAAGTAATTCAGACTTGTCAATAGCTGGCTAAGGGTGGTTCATGTATAAGAAGTTGTAGCGCTTTTGAGCTAAGTTATTTTTAAGTTCAGAGTTCTTTCAGAAATTAATAATTTCAAGCCGCTCTCTTACAGAGTTCTTAAATCTTTTGATTGATATTCTGATATAATACTATAATAATACATGTATAATGGCATAGTTGTAGTGAAGAAAAATGATAGAATTGAAGAAAAAATATAGAATTTATTTTTTATCTGTGGCTTAAAGATCTAAGCCTATAGATTATGAACGTATAAAAAATTATTTAAAAAAAAAAATAAATAAATAATTACTGGAGCTGAAATGCGACCAAAATGTTGGCTAAGAACTGAGGCAACATACTTAAAATAAACATTCTAATAGAAGTATATATATTGTATGATATGATAGGGTATATTAAAGGATATGATATGATATGAAATGCTATGGTATATGCTATATGGTATATGCTTCATTTAATCTACTCATCATTCTGTCAAGAAAAAAGTATCTCAATGTAAAAAAATTATGTAAAGAACATATTGAATTTGGTAAATAATTTTATAAATTCAAAAAACACAAAAGTTTGGATATGAAACACAAATTAAGTTATTAATAGCTTTTGTCCTTGATAAAAAGATAGAACTAAAATCTTAAAATCTTTATACTTTACTTGCCACTAAACAGATGCATATAAAGTATGTAACTACGCAGCTCAAAACAAGTCAGAAAATTGGATTGAATAACAATAAAAAAATGCCTCAAAAGGTTAATATATATATTATTTGAAATTACTAATTAGATTAGCATAGAAAGCTGCAAAATATATGTAGAAAACCTCAATTTTTTGCTGCTCCAAAAAATTGTCAAGCTCTATGCAAAGTGTAATTGAGTTAAGCCACAACAAAAGCCAATGTCAGCAGCTAGCTCAACAAAGCTGGCTTGCTATAAAATATATATCAATTTATTTATCCATATCTCTATGTGACGCTCTCAACTTCAGCTCCAAGCTACGTTCTATTGGTATATTGGTATATATTCACGTGTAATTAGAACAGTGTTGTTAATGAACGATAAACACGGCTGAAACATCAATTGAACTACATAAAACAAATGAAAGAAA